GTGTGTGTGTGTGTGTGTGTGTGTGTGTGTGTGTGTGTGTGTGTGTGTTCGTCTTCAACACCATCAACCACGACTAATCCGTCTTGACATAACCAACTCTTAACTGTAAATGGAGCTGAATTTCATACCTAAAATAAAATTACCCAGACAGGATGCCAACGCGCTTCTTCCTCTTTTTTATATAAATTCTGAATGAGACTGATCCGATCAACAAACAGGTTTCTAAATTAGGAGATAAAACATTAAAAAAAAAAAACCCAACAACATTCAGCCACAAAGATGATTGTTGATGTGTTAAAATAAAAAGTGAGGCGCTGCGACTTTAGTCACCTGAAGACTCCGGACTCGAGATGATTTCCTCCATGACCCGTCCTCACAATCATCCCAGAAGCAGCTGATTTTTCCCTCCCAAATGGTCCTTTTTGGGTTTTTTGCAGCTCCCTTTTTCGTGTCACCAGATCAGCAATGATCAGCCGAAGCCCTTTGCTCGGTTGTATAAATAGCAACACTTAGTTTCCTGATTTTGGTAGCTCTGCCCCACTTCCTGAAACAGTTCAAGAAGTGAGAAAACTGTCACTTCAGAAAGTACAACAAGCCCGCAGACACTTCTGACGTGAGCAGTTTTTATTATTTTATTTTAGAAAAAAATATTTTTATCTAAAGCGGTAAAAAGGGGGGTAAAACTTCATGACTTTCCAATCTGCAGTTAGAAAAGTTCAACACAAAGCTTTTGTCTCATTCGGGCAACATTTTTGTTCCCTTTTTACAAAAAATCCTGCATGAATTCACCTGTTGTTCAGGTCAGATTCTTCTGTTTTTTCACTTCCTTAACGTGACGCCGTGCCTTTCATACTGAACGGATCAGAAACAAGTTTTACAGCCGTCAGGACTCAGAGGTCGAGCAGAGATAAAAAATTATGACCAAGCGAGGTTTAAAACTTAATACCTAGCACAGGGCTATTCAGCTGAACTGCTCCGGGGGCCACACTTACTGCACATGAACAGATGACGGGCCGAACATCCAGCAATTAAAGTCATTATGTAAATAAACCAAGTATTACAAAGATCTCTTACCTTTGAAAGAGTTTATTTTGCTGCATTTGATCATGAATACAACATACAAACCATATAAAGTAGTGATTATTAAACAATATAAAAAATAAAAAGAACACATTCTGCCTCCTGTTTAACACAAATCTAATTTTAACATCTCTTACTTGCCAAAAATTTAAACCAATTTTATTTTCACTTTCGTAGTTTTATCTTCAACTGCTTGTAATTTTAACTGTCTTGACTGTGCATAGAAATGGTTTTTACCAACTTGTTGCCAAGATTCTTCAATGTTTAACTAAGAACTTAAGAGTAATTAATGTAGAAAACCAGCGGTTTGGGTTTAAAAGATGTATGAACCAATTGGTGGGCTGAACTTTGGTTGGGCCACCAGTTGAATAGCCCTGACCAAGCATTTCTTCAAGGAATGCATGTCGCCCACAGCTTTTCAGTTTCTGTTAAAAATCATGTAGTCGTTTTAATCAAACATTAAAATCAACTTTATGCAGGTGATTTGTTAGAGCACAGAGTATGTGACATGAATGGCTCTTAGCTACTACCACACCAAGTTTTATCTGAATATCTGTAAAATTCACCGAGGTGTGACTAGTTTCACTAGAACAATGACTTATGATATGACTCCAAAAGTTACTGTAATATCAGCTGCAGATGTGCAGCCAGTGGTTCATGAGATATTTTACTTACAAAATGCAACAGTCAGCACCAAAGTTAAGTAAATATGTTGCACATTGTGTTGCACTCAGTTTGTGTTCGGGACAATTTCAGCTACTACAACATTACATTTCAGCTCAATATTTCTAATATTTTCTGAGGTTTTACTATTTTTGTTAATTATTACTCCCCTCCCTCCTGAAGGTCATTAGAGTCTGACATTCAGGTGGGAGTGGAGGAAGACCAAGACCCTAATGATCATCAAGTAAGAAAGGAAGGAGACAAAGACTCTAATGACCCTCAGATGGAAGGGGAGTTGGACCAAGACCTTAATGACTCTCAGGTGGAGGGGAGGAAGACAAAGACTCTAATGACTTTCAGATATAAAGGGACGAAGACCAAGACACTAATGAAATTCTGGTGGGGCAGGAAGGAGATTTAGTTGCAGAAAAAGAGGATCTCATGCAGTTTAAACTTCACTCCATGACACAGCAGTTCAGAGAACAATGATTTGGGACATTAGTCAGATGAATCGATGCAGGAGTTTCGAGTGAAGCTCACTGTTTAGTTTTCCTTTTAAGCCGGAACTTAATGAACAAAACTTTTTTTTAATCAAACTGGAATGTCTGGTTAAAAATTAAAGGGACCGAACAGGATCTTTCAGGTATTCATTAATAGAAGCCTGTACTGAGCTGGTCCACAACTGTCGGAGACTCAAAACTGTGAGAAAAAAAGGCATTTTGGACCCAAGGTTGCAGATTTTCATGAAGAACTCGAACATGGAGATTTTATGAAACAGGGAGCTTTGTACAAAAGAAACTAAATTACAAAGTCAACGAGCAGATAGGGATGCAAAAACACAAACTATGAAACCAAAACCTGGATGAAATCGAGAACCATGAAGAACCAGAGAGAAAGCAACCAGACAAAGAAATACCAGAAGYCGAATGAAACAAACCCTGCTAAACTCAACTGTTTCTGATTTAACCTGTTGCACACTGCAGAAATGAAGATAAACAAATTTGGACCAGTTATCTTCAGTGTGGTTTTTAGACCTGGACATTTGGATCTGTAGGCGCTGATATTTAAATTACATACAGCTTCTCTTCATTGTTTTTTTAATCACTTCTTTAAAACATCCGTCCTCTTTGGCACTGAAATTTTACTTATATTTTTAGTTACGAATCTATGCTTTCTAGTTTTTTTTTTGCTTAAAGGTATAGGTTCATTAAACGATTGGGGTGGCTGAAGATTAATCCATGGTGGGCACCATTGGTCACCCCCTGGCTCCTCCATTGCACCTGGTGGTCCACCAGGATCCAGCTCTGCACCACCAGAAGAATAAACTTTTATCTAGTACTAAATACATTAAGGTTTACTTTAATTACCTGTTCAGTTCCAGTCAAAAAAAAAAAAAAACACACACTTCCAACACTACAAACATTCATTATTCTGATCTGTAACCAATGTGAGACATTGATGAATAGCTTGTTAATAATTTTGTGTTTTATCAAACAATAGTTTTATTGGTCTTTATTTAAACCACACACTGAGATTACTGAACTCTTTGGCAAATTCCTCCTGAGCCACAAAGCAGTCTAATATTTATGTTTATGGACTGTGGAGAAAACCAGAGTATCCAGAGAAAACCAGAGAATCTGATGATAACCAGAGTACCTGGAGAAAACCGGAGTACCTTGAGCAAACCAGAGTACCTGGAGTACACCAGAGTACCTGGAGTACACCAAAAGTACCTGGAGAGCATTGGAGTACCAGGAGAAAATCAGAGTATCCAGAGAAAATCAGAGTATCCAGAGAAAATCAGAGTATCCAGAGAAAACCAGAGTAATTGAAGAAAAACGTAGTAACCAGTGACAACCAAAGTACCTGGAGAAAACTGGAGTATCCAGAGAAAACCGGAGTACCCAGAGAAAACTGGAGTATCCAGAGAAAACCAGAGTAATTGAAGAAAAATGTAATATCCAGTGACAACCAAAGTACCCGGAGAAAACCAGAGTATCCAGAGAAAACCAGAGTACCTGGAGAAAACCGGAGTACCTGGAGAACACTGGAGTACTTGGAGTACACCGGAGTACCTGGAGAACATTGGAGTACCTGAAAAAAACCAGAGTATCTGAAGAAAACCAGAGTAATTGAAGAAAAAGAGAGTATCCAGTGACAACCAGAGTRCCCGGAGAAAACCGGAGTATCCAGAGAAAATCAGAGTACCTGGAGAAAACTGGAGTATCCAGAGAAAATCAGAGTACCTGGAGAAAACCAGAGTACTCGGAGAAAACAGAATTACCTGGAGAAAACCCATGAAAGCATTAGGACAGGGGTGCCCAAACATTTTCCCCAAGAGGGCCAAAATGAAAATCTATCCAGATCTGCGGGCCAAATGCAGTTATATAATACATGAAATACAATTACTTTTTAAAATAAAATCCTTTATTTTTAATGATTAAGCTATGCAATGATCCACTTTTGTTTTAGTCTGTACACTTGGAGAAAGTCTGCCATACACTCAAGTAGCAAAGGCTCATGGCACATTTTATAAATTGATAAAATATGAGTTTTTGTGGCCTTATAAAGTGCGTGAATCTACCTGTGGGGTTAAATCTGATCTAAATATTTCTTGTCATTTCATGTTTCATGTTTAATCCTAATAAATCAAAGATATGTCAGCACCATGACTGAAAACTACCTTCACTACAGCCCTTTTATATAGTCATTTGACCAATGGAAATACTGTGTTTCTACATAACAAGTTACAACCTTGTAACTTTGGCAACTGTTGGTGGGCCAAATCAAATGGCTTGGCGGGCCAAATTTGGCCCGCGGGCCCCACTTTGGGCTCCTCTGCATTAGGAGAACATACAAAGCTACACAGTAAGTTGATGTCACTTATTTATGAAACTCTTATTTTTGGTGTCAATTGGTAATAGCAAAAAAATTATAATTAAAAACAAAAATAACAAAAAAAATTATTGGTTTAAGAATCAAAAGTGAGAAAACTCATCTACAACTTTACCATCCGGCACCACATGGTTACAACCATGAGAGGGCACCAGACCCTCACTAACATCTGAGGAGTCCTTCGCAGAACCACAGTCTTAAACAACAACAGCATGTTCTGAGTGATCCGGGTCTCCAACATCAAGAGCAGAATCTTCAGAACCACAACGTGCCGACGGCAGAAAGCCCGACAGGGTTTGAGTTTCTCACAAACAAAGGCGATAAATAAAACCTTCTTCTGCCAGGAAGTGAACGTTCTTAAAAACTGCAAGTTAGTAAGATAGTAAATGATCTGTTTGTTTTTCCATCTGTTAGTAAAATATCAGCTCATACACTAACAGCTTTGTGGTTATTTTTTTTGTTGAGCTGGTTCTAGATCAGTTAAATTCACCAAACAACCCAACTCTGCCTGATTCAGCTCAGTAAAACTGCCTGTTTTATAAGAAATGACATGTATTTTATTATTGAATCCTGGGGCAGAGTTATTAACTCGCTGACTCGTTATTAAATCATTTTTATAGCTGAGAGACGTAATTACCACGTTGGGTTTGAACAAATTGATTTGTAGAAAATTTCCAAACTGGGTTTGATTTCAGCTTCGCCTGCGTTCCTCTCAGGTGAAAACCTCCATCAGGTCATTTCTCAACACACTGAAGGAATTCAGTTTTATTTATTAACTCTGATGGCACTTTATTTTATGTTTTACCCACTTTTAAACAGGCTGACATTTATAATTACAGAGAACATTTCTTCGGCTGCTGCCTGAAATCCTACAGAACTTTTTAAAAGCTAAAACTGAGCTGTTAG